CCACTGTTCTGTCACCCTCCTCTGCAGGTGGCAGCACTAGAAAGCAAGGACTATGCAGTGGCCCCCTGAGCCACACGGGGTCATTCAAGATCCCCTGTGGACGCCTGAAACCCAGCTTCGGACATAGCCCTATCTTATGTTTTTCTCCAACATACGGACTAGTGATAATCTATAAATCAGGCACTCTAGGAGACTCACAGTGGGGCCTCCGTGATGGCACAATGGGTTAAAGTGCAGCACTGTGAAGCTATCTGAAGACACTGCAGCATGAGTTCGATCCCCGGCCAGGGAGTAACCCACAGGGCACAGCAGACCTCTCCTGTCTCCCCACTGCTCCCCTCAGCACTGTGTCTCAGTCAGCCCACCTGTTCTGCTCCCCACTCTGTCTCTGGGGAATCCTATCACTGCCCCTTACACTCAAGGCCTGTACCCCATTTCTTGTATGCATAAATAATTAAATCTTTAAAAAAGAGAAACTAACGACAGTAACCAAAATCAAATGGAGCAATTATAAAACGTGGACGGCCTTTTCTTCCTCTGAAAATACCTTGGATGTAATGTTTTCGTGCCTGGGTTGACCGTGGGTAACTGAAACCGTGAAAAACAAACACCGCGGATCAGGAGCTGAGGGGCCCTGCATCTGGTCCTCACTGTCCTCACCAGGCACCAGCGCAGGGCCGGGGCACAGCAGAGTCACGTGAGAAGCTACACCCTCGGGCCGCCCGGCCCGGGACAGCTCCAGCATCACATCAGCTGAACCCCAGTAGCGAGGGCAGGGGAGTTCCGCCTGGGGTCGGTGTTGGAAGGGAAACACGGCAGCCCCTTAGGGCCCTTTAAGACACAGCTGATCTCCCCGGTACGTGGCAGCCTCTAAGGAATGCGTTTGCTGAACGACTGAGGGAAAGACAATAAAACTGAGCCGTGTGCCAGGCCCTGCTGCAAAGCTTCAATACTTTCTTCCCTCGGCATCATGTGGAATTCCGCTCAGGGAGATGCATGAACTCGCCCACTGGGCAGCTGCTGAGCCTGGACTGTCACAGTCGCCTCTGCTCCTCGTCCCTGTCTTGTGCGCGTGCAGCGCGTGGACACTGGAGCCTCGAAGACGGGCCTGCCTGTGGCAGTGAGGCCGGGGACGTGCCTAGGGCAGGTGGGCGCCTCGGGTGGAGGCCCTGCCAGTGGCACGGGTGACCCTCCCCTGCCCACCAGCGCTTGCATGGGGCCTCCTGGAGTCACCCCAGGAGTATGTGAGTGACTGGGGCAGCTGCAGGCCCACAGAGGGGATCTGAGGCCAGGAGGTGGTTCCATGGTGGGTGTGGTGCCCCCAGCTGCTGGTGCTCAGCAGAGAGTCGGAGACCTGGCAGAGGAGGAGCGGGGGGGGAGAAGAGGTGCCACTTGCCTCATGGACACTGGCCGCTGCCCTCTGGCCTTCAAGGTGCCCTCTGACCCCACCAAGAGTACAGGAGTAGTAAAGCCCACTTATCTGACACTCTCTAGCTGGTTGGACTGAAGTCCCAGGTCAAAGCCAGCCTGTCCCTGCATGGCGGGCAGTGGTCACTCGCACCGTGAGGACACCAGCAGGTCCCTGCTTGAGGTCCATCCTCTTCTGCTCTCCCCCTCTGCTCCCCTCACCCTGCTGTCACACAGCCACTGCATCGGGGATCCACATCAGGAATGTGGGAGCGGCAGTGGCTAAGATTCCAGAAGTTACCTAGTGATTCTGCTTCCTGTGACTGACCCCTTGGGGACTGCAGGGGGGCACTGAAGGCGCCCCTCCACCTGCAGCTGATGGTAACATGGTATTTGGGCTCCTTGAGCAGAAGCTGACACCTGTCAACTACGGAGCAGAAACAAGCGCAGTGCCTGGAGGGTGGAGATGGGTGTGGGAGGCGCTAGTCAGGAAGCTTCCAGGCAGAGGTGACCGTGAGCAGTGATCAAGACTGCCAAGAAGCAGCGGCCACGGAGGTGAGTGCTGTCTTGGATGGTGTGGGTGGACAGCTGTGTCCAATTCCCCCGTCTGTGGAAAGTCCCCTGGCTGCTGCCGGAATGTGGGTGAAGCTCCCTCTAATCCACTCTGATGGCCACACAGCCAGGCAGCTGCACAGAGCAGGTGTGTTAAGGGCCCTGTACCACAGCCAAGGTCAGTGCTGAAGAATGAAAGCTCTGACACCTCCGCACTGAAACAAATGGAGGGGGGGCATTTAATCAGCCGAGGCTGCCAATACCTAATCAAGATGAATAGCCTTGAGAGACGAGTCTAGGGAATCATCAAGGCAGGCGGCGG